GCTCTTACATTGCTGCGCCCAACAACACATGCAAGGGCATCATCAGAAACATCAATATGGAAATTGACGACGAAGAACTCAGAAGACTTCTTATTCAGCCGAGGAATCCCACTGTTCTCCAAGTGCGGCAAATCAAGAACTCTACCACAGTCGTTATCCTGTTCGAAGGACTTCGAGTCCCAAATTATTTTATGTGTAGTCCCAGCATAATCAAGTGCACCCTCTACCGACGGCAGACGGATGTCTGCTATACCTGTGGTAGACTCGGCCACAGAGCCGACGTGTGCCCCACTCCAGGAAATGTTATCTGTCGAGGTTGCGAAATGACCTCCCCTGGCGACCAGCACGTTTGCTCACCGAAGTGCGCCTTCTGTGGAGAGCCTCATCCAACGGCCGACAGAACCTGTACACAAAGATTCGAGATACCTTGCATCGTCAGACAGCGCAGAAGAGAGAGACGCGACTTTGACAAGGACTTCCCACCGATACATCACCTGTCCGAACCAGCCAACAAGTCCAGATCCCAGTCCAGGAGCTTAAGGACGCGCTCCCGATACAGGAGCGGTCCCCGATCCACAAGCCGTTCCCAGTCCAGGAGCTGTTGCCGATCACGGGGCCCGGCCGTCAGCATTCAGGTGCCTGCTGCCACAGTGACCGAGGAGGCTGACCGCGTAAAAGGATCCCAGAAACAGGTAACAGGTAAACAGGATCCCAGAAACAGGCACTTCAGAATGCTAATAACGTTAAGAGTGAGGCTCCACAACCTCCTCAGGTCACTAGACTCGAAACTCCTGTTGAAACGCATATGGAAACGCCCGTGGAAACACCTATATGGAAACGGCCATGGAAACGCCCGTAGAAAAACCCGCGGAGACGCCCGTCGAAACACCCATGAAAGTGCAGTGTACTGTTCGTCCAGCCAAAAGAGGACTTTGACGAGGCCCGCGTTTGATGAGGAACTGCTTAGTTTTAAAACAGAGATCAGAGACATGTTCCAGTCGCTTAGCCAAACAGTCGCATTGGTTCTTGTTAAGGTCGATACCTTGGCGGACAAGTTCAGCGCACTGGATGCCAAGGTCAATACGTTGGACGCTAACTTCTGTGCGTTGGACGCTAAAGTCAACGCGCTTGAACGCAGGCCCTTATCTTTCGAGTCTAACCATGGCGCGTCCGCCTAAAGAGTTCAGGATTTGGCAGTGGAACTGCTGGGGGTTTACCCGCAAGAAGGCAGTTCTTCGGCAGTTCATTCGTTCTCACTCTGAAAAGCCACACGTCATTTTACTTCAGGAGACGCTTTCGGATTCTGTCATTCTGCCGGGTTACACACCTCACGCTCTTTATGGAGACGGACGACGGGGCATTTGCACGCTCGTATCTAAGGGATACACCTATATCTCGCATGATCTTTCTAAGAACAGTAGTAAAATGGAACACTCATTGGTCGAAATTATTCCGGGGGGGGGGGGGGGTCATTTAAAAAGTAACATTTTCATCCTGCATATTTATAGTTCACCAAATGACTTGAAACAAAGGTTTGCAGCGCTCTTGAGTAGGGCTGCCGCCAGGGCCGGTATCTCCCCGCTTGTGGTGGCGGGTGATTTCAATGCTCCTCATCAGGGTTGGGGTTATCTGTGGTCATTCCGTAAAGGCGAGGATTTGTGGCAAGCAGCGGCGAACTTGAACCTCACCCTGGCCACGGACCCAGCATTTCCGACCAGGATGGGTAACTCCTGCACGAGGGACACCACGCCGGATCTTACCTTTGTTAAAAATGTTGAATCTTCTACTTGGCACAACTTGCACGTGGATCTGGGTAGTTACCATAATGTCTTAGCTACCCATATCAGTATAAAGGGCAAACCCATAAGAGAGTTTAGTTTCACAGATTGGGATTACTTCCAGCATATTAGAAAAGAACGCACGCAAGCTGAAGACTCAACCTCAAGCCTGGATCAATGGGCCAAGCAGCTAAGGAAGACGTTGGCGAGGCGACAAAAAAGATACACACAGGTTTGGTAACGGACAGGATGGACAGCCGCCTTGCGCACCTTCTAGAGGCCAATAAATCGTTACTGAATAGGTGGAAGGGGTAGAGGCTCGATCGTCGGCTCCGCAAGAAAATTGCAGAACTTAACCGAACCATCGAAGACCACTGCCAGACCCTCTCTAGGCAGCAGTGGGACGAGGTGTGCAATTCGGTTGATGGCCAAATGAGAAAGCACCTTTTGCACGAGTCGAATTCCAAGAGTAATCAAAGGCAAGCCATTGCTAAACTGATACATGCCGCAAGACAGTCTGATTCTGAAGACGCTATACTGGATGGTTTGGCTCACAGATATTTACCCATTGGCTCCTCGAGCTGTTCAGACTACCCACCCTACACTGGACTCCTTTGCAATGAGCTCGGAGAGCCCTTTACCACCAGCGACGTTTGGGAAGTTCTTTAAAACCTTAATGGAGGATCGGCTCCGGGGCCGGATGGCATCTCGAACAAGGCCCTCATGAACCTGGAAGACGAATTCATCAATTTCCTTACCGATGAGATAAATCGCATATGGAGAGAACGTTCTGTCCCAGACTTTTGGAAAATGGCATCGGTTGTCTTCATTCCCAAGCCGGGGCGACCTCCAGGTTTAGGCAATCTAAGGCCTATATCTCCAACGTCCTGTGTCGGCAAGGTGGCAGAGCACGTCATTTACAACCGTGTCTCTAAGTACATCGAGAAGAAAGATCTTTTTCCTTACAACATGGTTGGGTTTCGTCAGTCTTTGTCCGCACAGGACACAATAAAGCAGCTCAAACATCAAATCATAGACGTGAACACAAGGGACGTAAGAGGCATCCTGGGTCTTTACTTGGAAAAAGCGTTTGACAACATCTCTCACCCGCACATCTTTAACTCCATTTCAGACCTTGGATTAGGCGAAGCCTTCCACAGATACGTCAGCTCCTTTCTCGAATCCAGGAAGGCCACGCTCAATATCGGAGACATCAAGTTTTCTCCCATAGCACTGGGCCCTAAAGGCAGGCCGCAAGGAGCTGTGATATCTCCGCTTCTCTTTAACATCGCTATATGCAAGTTGTCTACACTGCTATCTAACGTGAAGGGCATCAGCCAAACGCTTTACGCTGATGATATTACCATCTGGTGTCCCGGAGGTAGCGAAGTGGAAGTCGAGACTGCACTCCAGGAAGCCATCGATCAGACAGAGCTCTTCCTTGCTGGCACAGGGCTGAGGTGCTCCTCGAGTAAATTGGAGCTGCTTCTATACAGGCCTAATAGAAAAGGAGCCAGGCCAAAAAAACTGGAAGCCTTTGTCAGAGGTAGACATTGTACTTCACACCGAAAGTGGCGCCCCCGTTCTGAGAGTGGACGCTATTAGAGTGCTGGGCATGATTATAGAGTCGCAAGGGTACAACGGACAAACCATCGCTAAGATTTCAACCAAGACCGAGAGTATGATTAGGTTGATTATTAGGGTTTCGAACAGAAGGGGGGGGGGACTCAGAGAAGACAATCTACTAAGGCTCTTTCATGCATTCCTCATGAGCCACATAACATACGTTGCTGCCACGCACTCTTGGTATGGATTCGAAAAGAAGAAGCTGGAAACTCCGATCAGAAAAAGCGTAAAGAGGGTGTTGGGCATCCTCGTGCGAACAAGCACTGAACGGCTTATGCAGCTAGGAGTTCATAACACCCTAGATGAGATCATTGAAGCCCAAGAGACTGCACAGCTAATGCGCCTGTCTACGCCGGCTGGTAGGAAGATTCTGTCCGTCCCAGGCCTCAGTCCGACGCTCGTAGAGGATCACCGTCTTCAACTACCAGATGAACAGCGTACTGCCATCCAGGTCTCCCCGTTTCCGCGAAACGTCCATCCTCAGCACAACGTAAGAAGGCGCCGGGCTAGGGCCATCACACTTCTGAAGAACATCAGGAACGATCCTCAGTTTGTTTTGTTGATGCCGCTCAGTACGGTCGCTCAGCTAGGTTTTCTGTTATTTCAGTCAATCATATGGGCTCTATTATCAATGATGCGTCAGTTAGGGACTCTACTCCCTCAAGAGCCAAACAGTTGGCTGTAGCCTCTGCCCTTTTGGATGACAGTAGATTGCAAATCTTCACCGACTCAAGGTCAGCGGTCAAGGCTTTCGCCTGTGGTTCCGTCTGTGCTGAAGTATTTAAACTACTTGAAAATAGGACACTTTCTCCACATAGTACCATTACCTGGTTTCCTGCACATCTCGAACCCCTACTGGACTCTCAAGTAAACCTGAATGACACTGCTCACTTCCGCGCGCGCGCACTAACCCTCTGCGCTGGGGAGGACGTAGGTCCGCAGGTTGGCAGCGAGATGTTCAGGGGTGCTTTACTTACATTCAGTGAAGTGGCTAAACACTACTAGTTGAGTAGGCGGTCATTTGCTCCACCACACAAGTTGTCTAGACCTCAAGCCATCCCGTTTAGAATGCTCCAGACCAGGTCCTATCCAAGTCTATTTTCCCTCAGCATAGTCTCCTCAGAGGCTTTTGACTCTACCTGTCCCGATTGTGGCGAGGTTAGCGACTTAGCACATATGCTCTGGCAGTGCCCCTCGTTACGGGGCCCAAGTCTGCTCACAGAAGAAGATTGGGACTCTGCCTTAAAAAGTTCAGAGTTGCTACCACAACTACGGGCTGTCCAGAGAGCCCACGACGCGGTGGTGGGGCTAGGCCTCCCCGTTACTTCGTGGGAGCGGCCCGCGACGTTGCTCTAAAGGAGCAGCGTTTCTCAGGACCCAATAAAGTTCTTTGTCTGTCTTAGCTCTGTGGAACTGGATATCAAGCAAATCATTAGGCAAGGACTCAAATAACATTTTTGCTTAAACTAAGCAGTTGTGCGAACAATGTTGCCTTAAGTACGTTGACTACACCGCGACATTCGAAGGGTAGTTTGGTCCAACTTAACGCTGAAACAGCACCTGCACAAAGTGCTTTAAAAATAAAGAGGTCCAATGCACGAGTTCAACGCTTGTAGATTTATTGTTTTCTCTTTGGGGGCCTTGGAAATGAAAGGCACAATAATATTAGTTGGAGCAACTTGCAAGCTCATAAAGAGTCGAACACATTTGAAGAGACAGACAAGATGTGGAGGAGAGAGAAGGAAGAGAGGGTACACGCAGGTTGAAAGAACACGCAACATGGTCCCCCGTTTTCTGAACAAGTCAACGGCATACAAGCGAATGTCATAAATAAAGAAGAGCAGCACAAAGTTCTCTCACTATTTACAAGGAACACTAAAACTGTCCTTTCAAACAAACAAACAAAAAATTGGCCTTTACTCCATTAGGTAGGTAGTTAAAAACACTCCCCTCCAATAGTCACAGACACCAGGGAACACTGCTGCTTGCAATAAATGCAAAAAAACATCCTCGTTATCTTTATTATTTATGCATAATAAATTAACACAGGATGCAAAGAGCTCGCCCTCCCAAAACTGAACACATGACTGCCCAACAAAGAAAAAACTGCACACAGTGAATGCGGAGGGAACTAAAAAAAAAATTGTGCGCACAGAAGACTTGATTGGAAGGTTAAAAAAAAGAAGTGTTGTAAAAGAACAAGGCTCAAGTGTACTTGCAAAACTGTCCCAGCAGCTTATTCTTCAGACAGAGTCTACTTACATTGACAGTAGTTTGCTGGGTCACTCTGCGCAACCTACTGTAATGGTACAAACGGGTTCACGACATTCTGTTGTCAACCCACTGGTATTTTTACAGCAAGTCTAACTACAGTGACACTGTGCTCATTGCACAAAGCTTGCGCGCTTACTTATCCTAAAGCAGATCCTCCCTACCACAGTTCCCGACATTGCCACACGAAATGGCAGCTATCACAGTTCCCTCACTTGCACACCGGAATGAGGCAGGAGGAGGGGGTCTCATGGGATGGGGAGGAGAGATGTGTCTCTTCTGTACAACACAGTCCTATGTACACAACACGCGCAGTCGCGGCAGAGTTCCGACAAAACGGTCGCGGGGGTGTGCGCGCGCAGCTCTTGTGCAAGTGGAAACGACGACGACGAACGACGACACTCGATGGAAGTGGGTTGCGGTGATGCGCGGCGGCTTCTCTTCGCTCTTTGCCGGCGGTGAGTGCAGCGGCTTCACGTGGACTTAGAGGCCCGCATCGATGTGTCGTAGAGCTCGTCGATGTCGTTCTGGTAGAACTGCTGGATCTTCTTCCGGCGGATCTTGTAGGCAGCAGTGACGAGCCCGGTGTCTGGCTGCCAGTCCTCGCGGCACAGCTTCAGCTTGGTTGGAATCTCCATCTTCTGCAGGTTGGCTGCAAGGTGAACAAAGAGAACAAATATTTTATTGTCTATTTTGTGGAGGCCTTGGCCATTACGCTTCACTGCTTTGCCAGGCAATTTCACTTCAAATTTATCAAATTTGCATAATCAGCACATACCACAATTCAACGTAGTTGAAGCATGACCAGCAGCACATTTGGGACATCGCTCACATCACAAATATAAGAGAACTTCCGTGGCTACACAAACTAAGCCAAATTTAGCAAATGTTGATAGCATGCCAATTTCAAAGTCCAATAAGAAACATAGCCATAAAATTATGCTTCCTTATGTGCAAGGTACTGTCTTCGCAAAAGAACTTTCTGAGGCACACATTGGCACGCATATTCGTCTTCGCAAAAAAACTTTCCGAGGCACACATTGGCACGCATATTCCACAAACAACAACTGCTAAACTGACCTTTGCGGGCATGAGAGATGATGGCCTCAGCAGCCGCATTCACCACCACAGGGTCATTGCAGAGCTGGTCGAAGGTCAGGTGGCCACGGCCAAGCTTGTCAGCAAGAATCTGCAATTGCTTGGGGTTGGGCGCTACTAGCGCCACCAGGTACGTGTGGAACGAGTTTCCATACACACAGAGGTTGTCAATGAGAGGGCAAGTCTTTAGCTCCGTCTCCACCTTGCCCAACGAGATGTACTCTCCGAACTGCAGCTTCACCAGGTCCTTCTTGCGATCTTTAGGAAGATTGAAAAGAAATAAAATAATGCACAATAATCAGTATATTTTTACATGGCTCACAATACCAAGCATGCATCAACACGCTGTCGCGAGAGAGTACGAACAGACACCGACAACTTCTTTGTTATTTCTGTTGACTACTTTAGACCTTGTCCATTCATTTCAAACCGGTTTTGAGCATTTCTAGCCTTGTTATAGCCCGTATTGAGTGCCTTGTGGTGAGCGTTATCATGCCATGTGAGATGTATGAATAGATGACGAGCCAGACCTCTGAAGTGCTCTGTACCAAGCCTATGCACCATGTCCCTTTCTATTTTAAAGGGGTTCTGAAGCATCCCCCTAGCTTGGTGAAGAAAAGCATTGCAAAACAGCAAACACCGCTATGGAGTGCTCAGTCAAATTTTGTAGCTGGGTGCAACACAGAGTATACAAATAGTGTGCCGAGCTGCCACTTCCTTCAGTGCCTACTCCTCATACACAGCCCTGTGCTGGCGCTCATCAGAGCCGATGGAGACTGCCATATGGTATCTAACGGAACATTGCTGCAATGGACTGACTGCCAACATTAATCGGATGGGCGTGTTGCCAGTGGGTGCCGCCATATGAAGGTGCCACGGTAGACTGTGCCCTAAAATTGCACAGTTGGCTCAATTGCGCATGCCTGTATCACACCGGGAGCAAGCAAAGGGGTTACACAATGCGTGCAGACATAGCTTCTCGCCCCTCCAACGAGTGCAGATGATCCACAAGGGCTGTTATTTTAAAGAAATGCTTCCTCACCGATAATTTTGACCGTCCCGTCGGGGTACATCTCTCCTATGTCGCCCGTGTAGAACCAGCGGATGCCATCTTCTTCCCGGTAGCACTCGTTTGTGAGTGCCTCGTTTTTGTAGTAGCCCTTGGTGATGCACGGTCCCCCAACCAGGATCTCGCCACGTGGGTACGGCTTGTCCGTCACATGGTAGTTTGCCTCATCCCAGTCTACGAGCTTGATGTAGCAGCCCACCAAGGGTGCACCCACACGACCAAAGCTCATGTCGTCCACTGAAATAGAAGAGTTAAACTTTCATTTGTATACTGTGAGCACTACATGCATTATGCCTGTCACATTCTGCTATGAGGTTGCACAATTGTGCCATGTTTACGATGACTTGTTGAAATCGCAAAAAGCTTGCTTCAGAATGAATTGTCAATACTGTTCTCAACGTACCCTGTCTTGCAAGGTGTGTGGCTTGGCTGTTTCAATGCAATAAAGAGCTCTAGCACGGACCCTTTGCCGAGACAATCAGCACATGCACCTTAAATGCTATGTGCTGCTTTTAAGGGGGGGCGCGGCAAGTAAAGTGCCGATTTTGGTCAAAATATGCGATTTTCTGATTTATTTTTTTTCGTAATCTTCAGACCTTCAACTTCCTTGTTCTAAAATATTACAGCGAAACGTGCGCTACAAATCCCGCAAATAGTGTTTTTGCCGAGGCTAGTCGCCGAAAAGTGCGAAAAAAAAGCCCCTGAAACGGTGTTGTTCACGCCGCACAAACGCGCCAAGCTGTTGACCGTGGGCCGCCATTTTGGTAGCTTTGGAAAGAGGAGAAAGCCGGCTTCCCGATGGTCGCGGTCTCGTATTTCGCCGAGTGAAAATAAAAGCGCGAGGAGCAAGTAAAAAAACGAAAACGAAGAACGGCAATTGGCTGCGCGGGTCACGTGGTAGCAGGCGCGACCTCTTACTGGTCAAAGCTGCGCCGCGCACCTTGGCAACCTTGGAAGCGCAAGCGCATCTGCGGCCGCCGTGTCGAGAATCATCCGGCGTGCGCTTCGTTTTTTGCCAGTTTGCTGTTTTTGTGATAGTTCGCGTGCTTTTTTTACCAAGCTTTGTTTACATCGGTGGTCTCTTCTGAGTGCTTGCTCATACTGCGGTGCTATGTTGCCGCAAAAAAAGTTCCGGAGCGTCCACAAGTACGGCAAGCGTCGGAAAGCTTGGAACAAAGGGCAGACGACTGCGGCTGCCGTCCCAGTCGCAGTTCCGGACGGAGCATGCTCTTCAAGCGTCACGGAGCCTCTACTCAGACCTTTCGCTGATTGTTGTGAGGCCGAGAGTATGGAAGGTGCCACATCGTCGTATGTCAGACCGCCGGATGCCGTCGACCGTGATGGACGCTCTCGCGAACCCGATTGCGGTGGCACCGCGTCGGCAGCCGTTGCAACTCCGGGCGTGCGCGCGTCGAACATTCTATCGCGAGTTTCGGCCCAGATTCCGAGCAGTGAAGAAATCGCGCAGCGGGCGCAGACAAGGCGGGATGTTTTGGATGCCGTAGCATCGAAGTCCGCTTCAAAGCGGAAGCTCGAGCTTCTGAACGAAGGCTGCGACGAAAATGACGGCGGTAAGGACTCCACATTCTTCATTGTAAATAAGAAGATGCTGAACGGTCTGCTTTCGTCAGTAAAGTGCAACAAGTGCGACGAAGGGTCGATACGCCTCGAGACTACGCACTGCCTTGGACTCGCGGCGAGGATGGAACTTTTTTGTGACAATTGTGGCAGAGTGAACAGTGCGTGGTCGTCCCCGAGGTGCTCCGGGCAACAAAAAACGAACCCCTTTGAGGTAAACGTGCGTGTTTTGAGGGCTGTGCAGTCAGTTGGCAGAAAACAATCTGCCATAAATGACATTTTTTCTGCGATGGACATTTCGCATCGAGCACTGCACCACAAGTCCTACCAGAGACTGCAAAGGAAGTACAGCCACCCTGCCACCACATCAGCTGCCACCCGCATTGAAGCAGAAAGTGCACAGAAGGTGCATGACATTTACAAGGACCTAGGAGGAGTGCCAGGCAACATTGACGTCATTTACGACGGCACGTGGATGACGAGGGGGCACAAGTCATATTGGCGTGGGCTGTGTAATCGAGCTGTACACAGGCTTGGTCTTGGACCACTGTGTCCTGTCCAACTACTGCCAAGGCTGTGCTGTTGGCCCCAAGCCTGGTGACGACAACTATGAGGAGTGGCTTGAGAAACACAAGCCACAGTGCCAAAAGAACACCGATGCTAATGCAGGCCAAATGGAAGTAGAAGCAGCTAGGATCATGTTTGAAAGATCGTTTACCAAGTACAAGCTTCGATACATCAATGTGCTCTGCGACGGTGACAGCCGTACGTACCTTGCCCTCACGCAAGACAAGGTGTATGGCTACATGGTGATTAAGAAACAGGAGTGTGTGAACCATGTGAAAAAAAGAATGGGCACTTCCTTGCGCAACCTTCTTGATGAGCACAAATCCAAAGGCCGAGGACTGAGCATGGGTGGCAAAGGCCGGCTGACGCAGGGCCTGATAAAGAAGTTGACGAATTATTATGGCTGGGCCATTAAGAGCCACCCCAACGATGTTCCTGGCATGGAGAGGGCCATCATGGCCACTTATTACCATGTAACATCCACAGACCAGGATCCACACCACAACCTGTGCCCAAGTGGGACTGACTCCTGGTGCCCGCACAATCAGGCATTGGCCAAGGGAGAGCCGCTGCCGCCTAACAAACATAAACTGCCCCCTCACGTGCGAGTGGCACTGCTGCCAATCTACAAGCGCCTCTCGAACAAAGAGCTCCTTGAAAGGTGTGCGCAGGGAAAAACCCAGAACGCTGTGGAGAGTATGAACAGCCTCATTTGGTCACTCCAGTCCAAGAGCCAGTTCGCCTCCCTTCGAAGTGTGGAAAGTGCAGTTGCAGATGCAGTCTGCCGTTTCAATGGTGGATGCAAGAGTGCGCTGCAAGAGATCACTGCTCAACTGGGCTTCAATCCAGGAGACTGCTCTTTGCGGCGAGCAGCCGAAAAGGATGCCAAAAGGGTAAAGAGGGCTCAAAAGGCGCATTGTTCCACGACAAAGAAGCGCAAAACTGGGTTGCGCTCTACAGAGGCCAAGGCCACAGCATCTCAGGATTACTGCCCAGGAGGATTCTGAGTGTTTTAGGCATGTTGTGAACTTCCAAACAAGAGTGAACTTTCAAAGTCAGTTTTCTCAACTCTTGATTTTCGCCTATGTGCCTTCGCTAGAACATCCGTCATTTTCTAACAAAGACTGATAGAGTCGTTCCGTTTTTTGCACTAGGCTCAGGAGGCCTTTAGCAGTGCAATAAAGCTTTATCTCTCTTCTTACTCATCATTTAAAATTTTTAGAACACATTTTATAATTACTGCGATGTGTGCGCAAAACAACATTCATGTTTTGGAAATTTTATTTATGGTTACAAGAACTAGAAAAATCAACTAATAGCTTCTTTGCACAAGTTGATGCTTTGGGAACATAATAATATGAAAAAATAATTTCATTTAGCAATAATTATCTCTTTAAGTGTGAAGAGCATTAATTAGTATAATTATGCTTGTAACTCAAAAAGTACAAGAGGTATTTGAAAACGATTTTCATATTTGGAATCCTCACAATCATCCACATACACACACCAAATTTCATCACAAACAGTACATTAATAAAAAAATTAGTTTTACTTGCCACGTCCCCCCTTAAATGAAGTACTACATGTAATGCAGTAATTACTGTATTCACTCGCACCCTCCGAAAATTGCAGCAAATATTGCATCAACCTTGCAACCACTGACGATAACACAAAACAGCTTGGCGCCATCTCTAAAGCATTTTGCATACTATTAAAACACAGAGCCCCCAATCCAAAGTGGCAAGTACACGATGCAGCGTGTTAGTGTACGTTGTGTCCATTCTGTGGTTGCGCTCTGGGACAATACGAAAGCTAAAAGCCTGCTTTCAAGTCGAAAGTGATTGATCATGCACCAAAGAATGGCAGCAGGGCCGCCAGGAGGCACTTTGGAGTCGACGAATTTTGTGTTTGCTACTGGAGATGGCAGCACAGGCAGCTGAAAGCCACCAAGACTCGTTAGGCCTTCTGTGTGCCTAAGATTGGGATGGATGGTCAAACTATTTTGACATAAGGTAACTGCAGACAATTCAGTGTTAGATGGCCATCAGGCCAAGGTTGACGTGGTACACTAACCTTTTGCGGGCTCCCGTAGAGGGAGGAACGCTAATGCTTAACCCGCAGCGCCTGCAAGCTTTGTGTACGGTATTCAAAAATTCGCAGCTTTGGTGCCTGAAGTCTTGCTTTGTGCTGTACCTGTGGTTTTATTGTTAAGGTAAGTCCTGACTAGTACTTATCAAAAATTGAAATTAGTTGCTAGAGTGCAAATACCGATTCCTGGCCACTGATTTTTTTTTGTCTTGTTTTGCTTATCTGCGCCGCACGTTTTCATGGACAATTTTTCTTGCACAATTCTCGCACCCGAGGATTATGAGAGTAAATATGATATGATTACCCTTGCAGTTTGTTATAATGAGGCTCAAGTATATACTTTGAAGCCCAGCCTGACATCCTTGATATGTTTTGAATACAGATTTGGCATGATTTAAATATCATCAATACATTGGATAGACAAGTCATGCTAATAATAAGAAAGGCTCCAAACTTCTACTGCTAAAGTAGCATCTTACAGATGCAGCTACACAATGACCAAGAACAAAAATTCATGCACCCTCAATAAATATTCTTCCTGCAAGCCCACATTGCTCCTATTGTTGGCTATAAAAAAAAAATTGAGTACTCACAGTCCATGATGGTGGCACCGGCAGCAGTCTCAGTGAGGCCGTATCCCTGCACAACGTAGCAGTCGAGGCAGGCCTGGATGAATTCGTGCGTGTCAGCCGAGAGAGGCGCAGAGCCTGTGGCAATCACCTTCACCCTGCCGCCAAGCAGGGCCCGCATCTTGTTGAACACCATCCTACAAGACGAGAGCAAAAAAAAGAAAACAAAAAGATGCAGAGTCACACAAGCGAACATCGAATGAACACAGCCTACACAAAGCTGGAGGTTTACAGTTTCTTTAGAGGTTTTTTTTTTTTTTTTGCAAGCATTCATGGCATCATTCAAGTAGTGTGCAGGGGAATTGCCTGCATGCAGTCTGCCTTTGTACAAAGGCCGGCTACTCGACTTAAGCAAACATTGGCTCGTGTCAGTCCCCAAAGCTAAGCTCAACATGACCCAGACTGAATAAATGTTTAAGACACTAAACAGCGACTTTGCAAGTTCCAAGATATTAAACTTGCAAGGAGTCTTGCAATGGCAGTAATGAAAGGAAAATTGTAAGGCAACTTGTAAGCTTTAAGAGGCAATTAATAACAGCTGAAAAAATTCTTGGTAGTCCACTTTCAGCCAGTTGAACAGTTACAATGGCTCAACTTACAAGACTGGTTACTTGGCTTGCTGCTTGAGGAATTAGCTAGATATGTAGCTACATACATATGCCACCACCCGACAAAAATTATGTAGTACATTAGGAGTCACGCAAGAGTTAAATGGCCAGAGGACAAGCAGCATGCAGTTGTCTATCGTCAGACTAAGCTAGGTTGAAAGGTAACAGAGGCTTTAAATAAACATTCAAGTTTGACGCTGCCTCACCTGTTCAGCAGTGGCGTGTTGAAGCCAAGTCGAAGCCAGAAGGATTTGTAGGCGATGAGGTACTCAAAGATGCGTCGAAAAAATGGGCCCTTCGTAGCTGCTACTTCTGTGATGCTCTTGCGGATTCTGTCCAAAATGAGCTGCAAGTCGGAGAAGGAAGCACAAAAATAAATGATTAGGACAGCTACAAAACATAACCTGAAATGTCCAAATAGTAAGCACGTACAAAAGTACCACCCCAGAAGCAATATACACAAGTTTCCAGAGCTCTTTCAGGAAGTTACAATTGTCTGCAAACTTGGGTTTCACTTCCAGCCAGAAATTTGTGGTTTGGAAGTACAGCAAGAAGCGATGTGCCATGCGAAAAATTCATCTACACTAAATGCTTCCTTCTTGAACAGATTAGTGGCAGTGAGAAGGGAATTAAGAATCCAGAATGCCCATAGAGTCTGGAAGTGCACTGGAGTGTTGATACTGGCATAGGCACATAACTACTAAGTGGTCTGGCATGTTATAAGTTGTACAACCTGTCCAAATGCAACCTCCCAAGATTCACAAACAAAAAGCACGCCCTGACGGCAAGCTATGTAATGAATACAGCACAGCTGTCCCTTGCGCCTAGGAGTCATTTTTTCCAGCAATCTGACCTGCAATGCACACATTGATTAAATAGTAAGAAAGGCCAGCAACACATTAAACTTCTTGCGACCTGACTGCAAACAAGCACCGGCCAGCCTGAAAGAAATCCTCTATACCTCGAATGTACGCCCCCTTTTGGAGTACACCAGTAGCACTTGGCATACTTTTACTAAAGGGGGGGCGCGGCAAGTAAAGTGCCGATTTTGGTCAAAATATGCGATTTTCTGATTTATTTTTTTTCGTAATCTTCAGACCTTCAACTTCTTTGTTCTAAAATATTACAGCGAAACGTGCGCTACAAATCCCGCAAATAGTGTTTTTGCCGAGGCTAGTCGCCGAAAAGTGCGAAAAAAAAGCCCCTGAAACGGTGTTGTTCACGCCGCACAAACGCGCCAAGTTGTTGACCGTGGGCCGCCATTTTGGTAGCTTTGGAAAGAGGAGAAAGCCGGCTTCCCGATGGTCGCGGTCTCGTATTTCGCCGAGTGAAAATAAAAGCGCGAGGAGCAAGTAAAAAAACGAAAACGAAGAACGGCAATTGGCTGCGCGGGTCACGTGGTAGCAGGCGCGACCTCTTACTGGTCAAAGCTGCGCCGCGCACCTTGGCAACCTTGGAAGCGCGAGCGCATCTGCGGCCGCCGAGTCGAGAATCATCCGGCGTGCGCTTCGTTTTTTGCCAGTTGGCTGTTTTTGTGATAGTTCGCGTGCTTTTTTTTACCAAGCTTTGTTTACATCGGTGGTCTCTTCTGAGTGCTTGCTCATACTGCGGTGCTATGTTGTCGCAAAAAAAGTTCCGGAGCGTCCACAAGTACGGCAAGCGTCGGAAAGCTTGGAACAAAGGGCAGACGACTGCGGCTGCCGTCCCAGTCGCAGTTCCGGACGGAGCATGCTCTTCAAGCGTCACGGAGCCTCTACTCAGACCCTTCGCTGATTGTTGTGAGGCCGAGAGTGTGGAAGGTGCCACATCGTCGTATGTCAGACCGCCGGATGCCGTCGACCGTGATGGACGCTCTCGCGAACCCGATTGCGGTGGCACCGCGTCGGCAGCCGTTGCAACTCCGGGCGTGCGCGCGTCGAACATTCTATCGCGAGTTTCGGCCCAGATTCCGAGCAGTGAAGAAATCGCGCAGCGGGCGCAGACAAGGCGGAATGTTTTGGATGCCGTAGCATCGAAATCCGCTTCAAAGCGGAAGCTCGAGCTTCTGAACGAAGGCTGCGACGAAAATGACGGCGGTAAGGACTCCACATTCTTCATTGTAAATAAGAAGATGCTGAACGGTCTGCTTTCGTCAGTAAAGTGCAACAAGTGCGACGAAGGGTCGATACGCCTCGAGACTACGCACTGCCTTGGACTCGCGGCGAGGATGGAACTTTTTTGTGACAATTGTGGCATAGTGAACAGTGCGTGGTCGTCCCCGAGGTGCTCCGGGCAACAAAAAACGAACCCCTTTGAGGTAAACGTGCGTGCTTTGAGGGCTGTGCAGTCAGTTGGCAGAAAACAATCTGCCATAAATGACATTTTTTCTGCGATGGACATTTCGCATCGAGCACTGCACCACAAGTCCTACCAGAGACTGCAAAGGAAGTACAGCCACCCTGCCACCACATCAGCTGCCACCCGCATTGAAGCAGAAAGTGCACAGAAGGTGCATGACATTTACAAGGACCTAGGAGGAGTGCCAGGCAACATTGACGTCATTTACGACGGCACGTGGATGACGAGGGGGCACAGAAGTCATATTGGCGTGGGCTGTGTAATCGAGCTGTACACAGGCTTGGTCTTGGACCACTGTGTCCTGTCCAACTACTGCCAAGGCTGTGCTGTTGGTCCCAAGCCTGGTGACGACAACTATGAGGAGTGGCTTGAGAAACACAAGCCACAGTGCCAAAAGAACACCGATGCTAATGCAGGCCAAATGGAAGTAGAAGCAGCGAGGATCATGTTTGAAAGATCGTTTACCAAGTACAAGCTTCGATACATCAATGTGCTCTGCGACGGTGACAGCCGTACGTACCTTGCCCTCACGCAAGACAAGGTGTATGGCTACATGTTGATTAAGAAACAGGAGTGTGTGAACCATGTGAAAAAAAGAATGGGCACTTCCTTGCGCAACCTTCTTGATGAGCACAAATCCAAAGGCCGAGGACTGAGCATGGGTGGCAAAGGCCGGCTGACGCAGGGCCTTATAAAGAAGTTGACGAATTATTATGGCTGGGCCATTAAGAGCCACCCCAACGATGTTCCTGGCATGGAGAGGGCCATCATGGCCACTTATTACCATGTAACATCCACAGACCAGGATCCACACCGCGACCTGTGCCCAAGTGGGACTGACTCCTGGTGCCCGCACAATCAGGCATTGGCCAAGGGAGAGCCGCTGCCGCCTCACAAACATAAACTGCCCCCTCACGTGCGAGTGGCACTGCTGCCAATCTACAAGCGCCTCTCGAACAAAGAGCTCCTTGAAAGGTGTGCGCAGGGAAAAACCCAGAACGCTGTGGAGAGTATGAACAGCCTCATTTGGTCACTCCAGTCCAAGAGCCAGTTCGCCTCCCTTCGAAGTGTGGAAAGTGCAGTTGCAGATGCAGTCTGCCGTTTCAATGGTGGCTGCAAGAGTGCGCTGCAAGAGATCACTGCTCAACTGGGCTTCAATCCAGGAGACTGCTCTTTGCGGCGAGCAGCCGAAAAGGATGCCAAAAGGGTGAAGAGGGCTCAAAAGACGCATTGTTCCACGACAAAGAAGCGCAAAACTGGGTTGCGCTCTACAGAGGCCAAGGCCACAGCATCTCAGGATTACTGCCCAGGAGGATTCTGAGTGTTTTAGGCATGTTGTGAACTTCCAAACAAGAGTGAACTTTCAAAGTCAGTTTTCTCAACTCTTGATTTTCGCCTATGTGCCTTCGCTAGAACATCTGTCATTTTTTAACAAAGACTGATAGAGTCGTTCCGTTTTTTGCACTAGGCTCAGGAGGCCTTTAGCAGTGCAATAAAGCTTTATCTCTCTTCTTACTCATCATTTAAAATTTTTAGAACACATTTTATAATTACTGCGATGTGTGCGCAAAACAACATCCATGTTTTGGAAATTTTATTTATGGTTACAAGAACTAGAAAAATCAACTAATAGCTTCTTTGCACAAGTTGATGCTTTGGGAACATAATAATATGAAAAAATAATTTCATTTAGCAATAATTATCTCTTTAAGTGCGAAGAGCATTAATTAGTATAATTATGCTTGTAACTCAAAAAGTACAAGAGGTATTTGAAAACGGTTTTCATATTTGGAATCCTCACAATCATCCACATACACACACCAAATTTCATCACAAACAGTACATTAATAAAAAAATTAGTTTTACTTGCCACGTCCCCCCTAAAGTGAACATTGACACTAGACCGTATGCAGCTGAGAGCAGGCAGTTTCTTCACAGGCGATTATGACTTTTGTAATTGACCTGTTGAAATCGGTAATACTTTAGGATGGCCCCTTTTTGAGGACAGACACAAATACCTATGTTTATCTCTGTCTCGCAAATTATTCGATGGTTTAACGGGTCTTCACAAAGAACTACATATTGAAGCCTACAAATATATCTGTTCGTACTGACCACCCACTGAAAGTGCACGAGTTGGCTGCCAGAATTAACCGTCTTAAACATTCATTTTTTTTCAGCGATTAATACAGCAGTGCAACAAACTACCTCAAGAAATTGTAGCTGCGTCCAGTGTAAAATTCCCCGTTATGCTTCTAAGTAATTTCGTCACAGCTCAAGTATACTTTCGTTTGTTCCTTCTAGCAATCTACGCTCCAGTCCTTTTCTTTGTGTTGTTCTTGCTATCTCTGCCAGTATATATGTGCGTGTGTGGGTTTATAATACACATATTATGTTGGATGCTTTTTTACGTAGCTTTATTTTATGTACACCGCAGTGTTAATGGCTTGTCGCCGTTCTGCATTTTTGCTTTCTTAATTGTTCTGAAATGTATTACTTTTTGTATACGTATTATAAATCTGCATTTTAAGTGTTATCCCCCCCCTTACACTAATGCCCCATGCGGGCGCTATAAGTACCGTATTTGTTCAAATCTAGGCAGATAGTTTTATCGAATTTTTTTGCAACAAGCTCCAGCATCAGCTTAGATTCGAGGATTTTGAAAAAATGTGCCATTTTTCATTTAGAAAAGTGGTGCACAACTAGCCCTACATACATGGTATTATAGCCATTAGTAGCCAAGCCAACACCTGGCTTCTTAAGTACACACGTGAGGCCGCCATTTCGATCTCGGTGGCGAGTGTTGAAGCATGCAGTTTGTCGTTTCGAGTCGCACTTCGAGAGGTCGGTGTGTGGCATTGCTCATTGGCGCCAAACAGGTGGTGTCATTATAGAGCCGCATATAAAAGGAAAGTTGTCCTAGTTGTGGAGTTGTCGTCCAACGTTCAAGCTGGATGAGAATTTAGAGTGGACGAAAAAAAATGTGCATTGCTGGAGGGGCTGCAGTGGGAGACAACCCGAGAACTTCGATTGAGCGCTCGGAAATGCAGCATATCTAATATGCTTCATGATAGTGACGATTGCGCACTGTTTGAAGACAGCGACAAAGAAGTCTGTGACGAGGGAAGCAGCGTCGATAACTCTGAATGAGTGCGGCTTCTTTATGATGCAAATAACTATACTCGGCGACAGCTTTTCTTGACAGCACTGTGGAAGCTATAGAGCCGAACCGCCTGCATGCGCGCGCGCCAGGAAATAGTACCTATTTTATTTTCTGATTCTAATAGCTACTTGGACATGTTCAATAAAGTTTTTACTCACTCACTCACTCTAATAGCTACTTGGCCCGAATAAATAAAACTTTCGTCATTATAGGGATAGAACAAGTATGGGACGCTGTTCATGGAAATGAAGTAATCGTGCGCCCTAGTTTTTTCCCTTTTTTATTTCGTGGACGGCACCACGTTTTCCGCACGCCGGCTGCGTTTGCTGCTTGCTCTTGCAGCAGCGAGCACAGCATCGGCCGTGGAAAAGCTGCTCATCGTTGGGACGCGCCGTCTTTTATACATCACGCATCGAACTTTCCAGCCTTATCACTGGTGGCCGCGCAAGCTCTGAAATAAGCTTCACTGTTCGCGTCTTGCGCGCAATCTTAACAATGATCTACAACAATTGTGAGGCTTCTCGAACACTGAGGCGCAGTCTGCGCCGATCATTGCTGACAGCCTTTGAGGGCGTAAACCGAATACAGCAAAACTGAAACAAAACAGGCCCGTGGCCGGATCGTGCCGCAACCGGCCTTCCATTTCGCCTGTACAAGGGCTCAATACCGTAAACGTTAACATTCGATCACGTGTGGCGCGTACCCGTATATACTGGGCTGAACACGGAACCTAAACTTCTCTGTTATGAAGGCTGAATAATGCTGGGAAAATGTTCCGAACAACGGAAAATTTTATATGTACCAGTATATAAACAGCACAGTAACTAGCTGCATGTATGCACTCTCATCAAAGTTTAACTCTGACGTTCCCGTTTTGCATGCATACATTTTGCTGAACACACTAGCGCAGCGAGCAAGCGAAAACCGAAACTGGAACCGAAATCGGCTGCAAGCTGCCGGACTACTTGCGTAGTAACACAAATGTGCGGAGGCCCCGCCTCCGTAGCCTTCGCTCCAATGTCAAGAAAAGCTGTCGCCGAGTACAGAAGCAGTGCGGAAAAAAAAAACGATGACAAAGCAACTCAACAGGACTAGCTGCTGTATGTTTCCCGAGTCATTTTGCGTCACGAACGAACTGCCTTGTTTGGTCTTTATGTTCAATAAATGTTTCCTCTTTGCCAACGCTGTCATCGCTGTTTCAGTCAGCCTAAATTCAAGGCAAGGCAAGGGCTTTCGACTTTTGGGGTCGGCCTAGATTCGAGTAAGCACGGTATTGTAAATAAATAAATAGGTAAATAAATAAATCAGTTATTTTTCAATGCATCTTGTGTTTTACTAAACTCACCGGCACAGACACCATGATGGTAGGCCTTAGTAGAGATGCGTCGCCCTTGCAGCCCTTCTGAACTCCAGTGGACTGTGGGAAAAAAAAAAAAAAAAAAAAAAAAGCTCAGACAAGTTATTCCTAACAAGCAGGCAGGCATAGCTGCGTTCCAAGTAAATGCTCAGTTGCAGATGAAGGCCTATTTACTGACCTTGTCCGTCAGTGTGAGTGGAGATGCATAACCAATCCTCGCTCCCAAGGCAAACGAGAGGCATTCTGAAAGAGATAAGGAGTACACATGCGGCACAAGAATATGCAGTACAAAGAAGGGTCAATGAAATAATGATTGGTTACCAAATGGTTTGGCTAGGTAAGGTTTATACAGTTGAACCCCACTACAATGAAACTGACAGGTCGCGGAAAAAAATTTCATGGAAGCAATTTCATGGAGGAATTTCATGGAAGCAAAATTTCATTGTAGTGAAATAGAAAAAATAAATAAAAAATTGATGATCTGAGCTAGCAAAACGATATTTCATTGCCGAAATTCTAAAGGTGTCGGCCCAATGGCCACAACAGCTTTCGTGAACGAACCTAGCAGTTGCACGAACGCGCTAACACCAGCAGCTGTTCACAGTCAAAAAGTATCCGAATACACCGAGGTGCAGGTATGGCATGTGGAGCGGCGATTTATGCCTTATTATGTGCTGTACTTGTCTACTAGTAGCAGTCAAGCGAACGAACAGCCACTCGGACCAGTGACCACACTGGACAAGCAGAAAAATAACTAACAGCACTGGCATCGACTAGGCACGACTCGGCGATTGCGCCCAGCAGCAGCATGTAGGAAACTAAGCTTCAGCTTCTAATTATTTTCAGCTCAGAAGCAAGCCAGTAGTAAAAGCAGGGTAGACTCATTGCCACCACTATCGAGCAATGGCAGCCTCTATGCTTAGTAAACGACGGTGGTTTCTTGTGGTGCCAACGCACATTTTAGACTTCGTAAACATATTTTTATGTTCTAAAAATGCATCTATATGGTGAAGATTGTGTTTACTGCGCAGAATGAAATATCTGACCCTGAAATTGCATTGCCAAATTTCATTGAAGCGGAACAGTAGAAGAAAAAGTGTTCGTTGTGGCGAGAATAATGATTGCTGGTGGGGAAATCGCTGAGAAATTGCCGGCGGGGTACAGAAAATTTTTCGTTGTACATGTAGTGGGGTTTGACTATACTGCAAAGCATCTTGCTGCAGCTATCTGATTCGTACAGGTTAGTCCAAAGTCTTTCAGAGAAAAAAAGCTGTTCAAGATTTACGTGACACACCTAAAATAATATTAGGTGCACCGTAGTAAAAGACTGAATGAGCACAGATTGTCAGGGGTTTCCCGATGCGCTGCTAAATCTAAGATTATAGTTGCTTACTAGGTTTATGTAAATAGTAAATGTTAGGTTTGACGAGAATAGTGATTTGGTTTGAATATAGTAGACTCTCTCAGTAAACGGAAATCTGTTAAGCGGAACTACTGCTCAAACAGAACTATTTCCTCTGCAATGCTTGGTTTAGGGCTTGTATTCTGCATCCATGTTCACTTCTTAGTAAACATTCCCCATTGAATCAACACATGTGCAAATGTCATCCTTTTTGATTGAAAGGAAGTAGAAGCAACTTCGAATAGCTGCAAGATTTGACTTTCAGTACAATGCATGTGAGAACCTGTCTAATATGTAACATTTTAAATTTGCTATATTTGGACCATGTAAGCCGGCATAAGCTTTTAAACTTAAAAAATATTGAATTGATCCGCGGGTAATATGTTCATCGAGCCTTGAAAAGGGGCTTTGCGGCAGTACAGATTGACCCTTTAAGTGTGTACTTACAGTATGGCACACCTCCCCGGCAGCCAAACCACCTTTACAGAAGGTGTTACATGTATGTTGTAGTATACACACTAACTTGTTAATTTCCAATACTTTGAAATTTCCGATATTAAAATTCGAATCAAAATAAATTCGAATACAATATTATACATCCGAATATCTGCACAAGCCTAGCACTGTTTATGCTTTTCAGCCACATCAAAATGCAGCCATCATGGGCACGAATCAAACCAACACCCTTGTGCTCAGCAGCACAATGTCATAGCTGCCGAGATACAGCAGAGGGTAGTTGTGGGTGGCAGCAAAATAGATTTCTCTGGAAGACCCAAATTGTATTGCCTTGTGTGATTAACTAAATTCACAAGGATTTCTTGTCTGCCATCGGTACTTCAGAACGAGTAGTAACTCCTAAGAATGAATGGGCTCTGCTTTTTAAAAGCTGTGGTACCACATTCACTCAAAGGTACTGGCTACTAGAACAAAGCAGAGCCTAAACCACTGCGCCTCGAAAACAAACCACTTTGCAGGCACGGCAACGAGTATCAACTCACCAGCTGCAAGCTCCAAGACGTGAGCGAGAGGTAGGTAGGCAATGTAGGCATCAGTGTCGCTACAGAAGAGAAAAAAAGAAAAAGGAACTTAAGCCAGCAGTAAAAGACAATTCCGTTGTAACAGTCAAACATCAAAGTCTTGACTGGACTTCAAGACATGCCACTTCGGTTGCATTTTCCAGCAGCTGAACGACTACTCAAAGTGCTGAAGCATGTAGATGCAGACGTGAAATGGGCAGCACCCCTTATGATTGTGTGGGAATGACAACTGTAGTTGTGACAGTTACATAAGCATGCACACACATTAGGGTGGTTAACGTTCATTCAATAGGAGCTCAGTACTTATGGAAAGCAACATGCAATGCCTCTACACGAACCTAGATGGGCCCTGCAAAGCTTCGAAGGCGAGACTGTAGGACGACTCCTAACAGAATCGTCATAAGTGGCGGACATATAATTAGTGCGATGAACCTTTCTGCTAAGCTCATTAGTGAAATGTGCACTTCGAATGCCATCAATATAAAGAACTATGTGTTATATAGAAAACTATGTGTGAATATGTTCGTTTATCATGCCCCTAAATTCAAGTAAGTAGGCCTCAAGCACTTTCACCTCCATCAAAAATGCACCTATGCATTGCAGACATTTTGGTTGTCATCTAATTATCACACAGCTATGCAAACAATTCATCCACTGGAAGTTGCACATCAAGCATTTGCAGGAACAATGTGAACATACAAAGACCTTGAGAAAGGTGCTACGACAGTAAGCTCTGCCCTCTAGTCTCCAAGATCAAAACGCGTGCCACCAAACCACAGTCTCCATAACACATCGAGTCGATGGACTTCAACAATATTAAGCTACTGAGCACCGCAGTCCCACATCGTGGGAGAGCAACATAGGGCATATAGGCCACAAACATTCCAGCGGAGAATAATCCACCCAGCTTTTATTATGAAGCTTGTTGCAACTCTTTGAGTTCCTCTGTGGTAATTAAGGGCCAAACAACGAAACGTTCCTTTCCTCAGTAAGGAAGCCTTCATTTTTGTGAGGCCGCTTTATGTCACTCTGAAAGCTTCCTCACTAAGGAGCCCTCGGTGAAGGCTTCCTTGGCGCTTCCTCAGCTTAAGGTTGCTTTGGGGCTACCTTCGTGCACCCTTAGGTCCGCTCCTTGCCCTGAACGAGCGGTTCGCCTCACAGCTAGCCCACGTGATGTTTTCGTTTTCGATGCAACCCTCTCACCCCACCCCTGCGGGGAGACGCGAGCGGCGAGCGTGCGTGCACTGCACCACGGAGGAAGGAAAGGAAACCTTTTTCCTTCCTCCGTGGGGCGTTTCAGTGTTGCTAGAATGCACCACGTTTTGTGCTCAACTACGGTGGCTTTTCACATTCAGTAATCGTAGTTTGAAGAAAGCGTACACGCGTCTCTATATTAACACTTCAATTTGGAAGTGATGTGGTGACCCAACTTTTTTTTTACAGAATAAACGCTTGTGAGCAAAGCTTATGTTCGATAATCTCGAACGCAGGAGCGCGGCAACCATTCCTCCCGCGAGGACGGGTTAAGGGAGCTTTCAGAGTACGCTTGCTTCCTCCGTCGGTACTTGGTTGTAAGGAAGCCTCACGTAAGAAGAGGACGCGGTCAAAGGAAAGGAACGTTTCGTTGTTTGGGCCTAAAACAACCATTTTATGGGTGTTTGTTGCACGACAAGCTAAGAAAAGGGCAGGTAGCCATGGTAGCCCCAATGTTGCAGGGCCCCTTTAATAGTGGAAACACTAAACGTCACACAAACATGTGCATGCACACACAGAAAAAAAAGTAATGGCACTCAAGGCACAAGCATCTTACTTGGGCAGCATACTGAAATGGAGGGAAGTGAGAAAAAGCATGTATAAGAGAGAGAAAGCAAGATTCAAGCAAGAAAGCAGAGAATCAAGAAGGCAAGGACAAACGAAAAAAAAAAATACTGAGGCGTACAAAACATGGTGCATGTTTCCGAGAAAACAAAACATCGACCTTCAAGAGGGATTAAAGAAGGCCAAGTGCACGCAGGCCTGCATAAGCTCATTAAAGGCAATAGATGTAAGGTGTATGTGATTGACAAATTCACAGTGGTCAAACAGTGTGTACATGAATGCAGTATTGTAGAAACATTCAACGATACCTAGTTAGCTCTCCTGCGCTGTTCCATGTGAAAGCAGTAAAAGACAAAAAGAAAACCGATGAATGATCCAAAAAGCCAAGGAGTTTTAAAAGCGAGCTTGCTGTGGAAAATGTGACTGTTCAAAGGCGCAAGAAGTACAAAAGGAAACAAACAATAGCATGAGGTAGACCAGAACTCAAGCGTAAGAGTATGTTAGGAATGCTCCACATAAGGAATTCTCCTACCGACAATAGGCTTGAGTACTATAAGGCTCCCATTTTACTAGCTGGCTTGAATTACATGCCTTCCTCATAACCTTGCTTTAGAAAAATAAGATTACAGACAAAGAGTACATTGAAGGGCCGGGCCAGTAACCATGCATAGTTAATAGTCCTTTTTTAACTTGACAGCTGTAACCGAGCATTATAGCGTAGGTTGAATCAGAATTGGGTGGCAGCGTAGGCACCAGGCAATATCGACAATGCATTTTTTTGCCATCAGGAAACGAAACACAAGACAGGAATAACTGGTGTTACATTGATATAGATATATTTGGTTGCTTGAACAGGCTACATATTTCCTTACTTCAGTGGCTCGCATCACTATACAACAGGGATACTGAAAATTGAAAGACTAAGTCCTGAAATCGATAGACACAACCTTAATTTCAGGTAGAAACTGCAGAAAAATGATAAATTTAATGCACTTTATATATTTTCCTGCGTCCAGCGGCACCGCCATTAGCTAAAAGCGGCAAGGGCACAAAAGCCCAAAGAGTCTCGCAAACTGCTCAACTCCCCTACAGTTCCCAGAACCACTATGAACAGTACTGGCAGTGAACAATGCTCCCCGCTAGGGCAAAGCATCAGTGCTTTTGTGGAAGCAGGAGAGTAGGATGAAAAGAGAGATGGAGAAAGAGAAGACAGGGACGCCTCGGTGATGGTGAATTCTCTGGCTCCCACTCGCGTGCAGCTGCCACGCGCTGACAATCAGTAAAAAATACAGCCAACTGTTTAAAAATGCAGAAAATTAACTCCGTTTATCAGAACAGGTGCATCTTCCGAGTAGATTTTTCAAGTTTTCGTTAGGTCTTTCAAATGTTCATTCAGTATTCTTTTAACTTGGTGTCATTAAGCATATTACTGGAAGTGAATACAGAGCTGCAGCACATGCAGAAATATTTCGAAGTCAACCTAAGAGGTCAGGCTGAAGTAACAGCGTCGGAAAGATAAAACTTACCCGACGTCCTTGCAGATCACGCTGAATCCGCGGGCAGTGGTCACTATGTTTCCATGGGTGATCATTACGCCCTTAGGCACACCCGTGGAGCCGCTCGTGTACATGATGATGGCAACGTCGTCAGCCGTGGGCGTCTCTCCTCTCAACTCGGTATCGGCAGTGCGGCCACTCTCCTCCAGCCTGGCGAAAGGAACGAGGTGGAGCCCGGTCGGGGCCACAGGGGGAGACTTGGCCACAGGATTCTCCATGTAGATAATGTGCGTCAGGGATGGAATCTTGTCGATGATTTTCTGCAGGAGCAGAAGCCGTAAAAGGGCAAATTAGAATGCTGCACTAGCCTGAATCAGCTCCTCGGCTACCTTTAACACTGGAAATAATAATTGTTGGCGGTAAACATCCCCAAACCACTATACGATTATGAGGGATGCCCCTTTTGCACCCCCCGCGCCAACGCCCACGAAGATAAGACAGTGTTTAGACACAAACCCATTCTCATCAGCGATTGCAAAAGTAGAGGTTGCCGCCATGAATACTGGCAATGAATGCATAGTCCCCGCACACAAAAATTAGCAGGAGCGAGGCTTCCAGCCAAATTCTCACTTCTGATAATCTTTATCTGTGGTGGCTGTGCAGGCAATCGAGTCAGTGCCGCATCCTGCTAGCAACTGGGCTGCCAGAGGGCTGGGAAAGACTTACCGCAATCCTTGGCATGAGATCGTAAGAGGTGATGAGGTGGGTGGCCTCAGTTTCATTGATGCCATGGATGATGCCGTCTTCGCCAAGTGTTGCATAAAGGGTGACGACTGTGAAAGAACATGCATGCTATCATTCAAGTTGAACTGAAGACGAAAAGCTACACAAAACAGCCTATCAGGGGTAAACCTTCATTCTAGCCCCATGTGCCCACAGGTGCTGAATCGAAATCAGCAAAGGAATTAAAAATTGCTTCTATGGGCATGGTGCTGATTCGGTAGCAGTGTTCTTCCAACTTTTGTTAGAATGGAACTGTCCGAGGACCCGGAAGGAAGCAGTACCAACCTGGGATGTTGATGCGCAGACAGGCCTGGGCTGCCAGCATCCACTCAATGCGCGTCTCGGCCAAGATGACGACATTCTGGCGGGGACGTACACCAAGAGCCATCAGGCCACGTCCAATCAAGTCAATCTTCTCGTCCGCTTCATTGTAAGACACCCACTTGTAGTCACCCAGGACAAGCTGCACGTATACAGGCAAAGCACAGTGGAACATTACTACTACATTAACCGCATAACACATACGAACAAGATTTGCAAACAGTACACGCATCCGTGCCCTATTTCTAGTTTCGTAGTGTAGTGAAGAACAAGTGACCTCATATGCAAAAAAAGTAATTTAGTAAATACCAGCATCATTAGCCGAGAAATTCACCTTCGGAAAGCAAAGTCCAGCTTCATTACTGCTCCCACAAATCTGCTACAATTGTGCCACAACGTATTTGAAGTATGCTGGTATTTACTGGTTGGCCTCTTTTGAATCATTTATTCAACAGAATGTGGGCTTACACCAACTAGTATAACCTAAAGTAGTGTGAATTGGTGTTGAAAGAATGTTGCCAGCTTAAGCATAGGTTTTTTTTTTAATGTAGCTGGTTATGTTGAAGTAACCTGTACAGTAAGCAGCTGGCAAGATTTTAATATAGTCATTCAAAATGACACTGCATGAATCAGGAATTGGTTGTGCCGTGGGGATAGCATCAAAGAGGGAAAGAGTTAACTCAGTCGTCTAAACTGGGTCACTAATGAGGAAAGAGAACCGATATTGTCAGCATATGTGAACTTCAACCAGCCCAAATTTTTAACGATACCGAAAGTCCGAAAGCCAGCATTTGAGCCAGACAATTTGTTCTATTTAAATAGAATTTCTAAAAAATGAAACCAAGCTCCGAAATGTGGTGTGCTTTCATGTAAACCAAAGTGCCACGGGTTTTTGAAGTTTTCACAAAGTCGATTGGGCTCCACCTGGCTAAAGCTGCTCGCATTAAAAACTGCAATATTTTACATTCTTTGGACGAACCTTTTTGAAGACTTTCCCATCTTCCTGCTTCTCTTCACTCTCTCCCAGGACCGGGCGGTAGCCGAAGCAAGGACGGTCGCCAAACGTGTGGATCGCCTTTCGCGTCAGCTCGTCCATGGTTCGTACACCACTGAGACTGTCCAGCCCATTGCTGTAGGTCCGCACATAGGGTGCACTGGGGTCTCCTTCAATTGCACATTTGGCCTAAGCAGAGGAGGTCAAACCACTATCAACTTAGTCACAGGCGCTTTTTGTAGACTTAACAAGAACAACGCAAAAAATGAAACTGCAACTCGCGTCTAGTGCAATGAAATTGTCAATATTGATGATGGTTATATACAGGCAATGATGAGGCGTCTTATAAATGCCCAAAATATGTATATGACAAACTAAAATTTACAACTGCTTGTCAACCTTTTGTTACTGAAAATGAAACTGGACATAAAAACTGGATGCTAGCTTTCTAGGACCTACATCTCCGACCACTAACAAGTGAAAAGCATGTCCAGTCGTTTGTTGGTATTGGTTCCCAAATCAAGTCGCAGAAGGGTATTCTAAGAAATACAATTATTCTGTTTGGAACATCTGTACACATTCAAAAAGTCTGTTCTGCCGTAATGGCAAAGCAATGAATGCAACAGCAACAAATCTGAATGTGAATTGGAACAAATCGCATGTTGTGCCAGCAGCTAACTTCTTTACGCTGCCCTCCTCCCCTTCGTTCCCCTCCATGCTCCTTCCTAGGACGGGGAAGGGTGATGCGTGTAGGCGGCAGCCCTCACCCCTTTTCCCTCGCACACATGACATAAGATGCGCAGGACAATGTTATCAATTCGGACTATATAAGAAACATGAAGGCTACGGCGAAAATCCACCTACATTCGATATAATTAATAATTCAAATTGCAACGCACAGTACGGAAACCACAGAAGGGGGGAGGGGAAAAGAAGCACTTTGTTGTGGACTAGATTGCTGATGGTGAAGAATTACTGTAGTGCAATACTACTATTACTACTACTACAATAATAATAATAATAATGATGATGATAAATGGACGGCAAAATTAGATTGACTGTGCTCTGTCCCGTCGTTTCTTTTCCCCCCATGTATTTCGCACAATGAGGTGTTTCGAAGGATGGATTTTCCCCTTTTGTATGGGCAAAAATATAAACATTTATTATTATTATCAATGAACAACAAAAAATGTGAGCCTAGCATGTCTGTATAGAGACGAAATAGTTGCACCTAGACCACTGGTGTACATCGGGATACCCTTCGTTGTACCCGCTTTTTACTCCACACCGCGACCCAGCCCCATACATGTCTTACGATGTGGACACCTAAGGGCTGGTAGCTCCGAGATACATTAATAACTTGCATAGGCGAGAACTCACAAACGCCAGGTGCTTTTTCCTCCAGTAGTCCCACGGCCTCTGGCACACGAAGTGGATCGGTAGTGTGATGACGTCGCACGCTGACACCAGAACCTTGATGAGGCCCAGGGCGATGTCCAGTCCCAGGTTAGACATGATGAAGCTGCAAGAGAACCAGAGCACACTACTCAGTGGAGAACATCGCCGTGTCCCGAAATAAGGCCCAAGAGATGCAGACTGTAGGTTAAAAAGCCCTCCCCGCCCCCCAACACTTTATCGCTTGACGGAGATAATTGTAGGAAACAGCACGCATACACGTAAAAAAATGAAACAGTATCACACCATCCGGCCCAAGTTGTTCCAGCCTCCTTAAGAAATATCCGCAAGGAGAAAAGGTCAGTTATCAGGACCCCCTCGTAGGTTTGGGTGACAGACTTGGTTGCGAGCCACACTCTAGATTCCCGCCGCGGCTCGAGAAGCAAGATTATGAGGGCCTTCAAGTGTCTCCCGAGTAAAAAACGAGGTCAGATTAAAATAAAAGCTAGTGCAGTCACTGTGCTTACATGACTCGAACAAGCAAGATAAGAATAGCGCTCCTATAGGGGAGAGTTCCATAAATGGAAGCAGCCACGCACAGGATTTTGTTATCAGTGACTGAAGCTCAAGTGGCAAGCATAGTATACAACAAAGATTGGTCAACACTTCCTCTTCAGAAGGAGTGACAGCTCTAATGAGAGGTATGAACACGAAGCAGATGTTGAACGGTGATAGGGTGTCTTGCACACAAAAAGAAGGGGGGGGGGGGAGGAGGACCTTAAGTTTTGCCTGCAGACCAACACCGGAACAGTAGGACACTGCGCTGTCCCGTTCGAAGCCTTAAGAACAGCTTAAGCTCATCACTAGAGCTGGAAAGATGGCAAACGTCACAGGGGCACTGGACGGAGGGCTCCACCATCGCCGGAAAATTTCTGTGAATTAAAGCTTTCCACGCCTAATATGGCTTCTGTCTCGGTGGAGAAACTGTGGGGCAAGGCAAGCCGAACTGCTAATGCCATCTTCGTTTGCCTTGAATTTTCGCTTACGGCCAACGCCGATTTTCCGCTCTCAACCAAAGACACCGCGACAGTGCAGGGGAAAACTGCGACGACTGAAAGCATAGGTCACGCGGGACAGTAGTGGTAACATTTCCTTCCCCGCAGAACGCATGCACAGAAGACCTCACAGAACACACCTGCAAGAGTTTATTAGATAGTAGCACCGGTTTTCGATCAATCTGAATTTTTGAAGTAACGCGCACACATCACTCGTATAAAGGCAGATATTTTGTACAGTACATTTCACACACAGAGGAAATCCCGGAGTGCATGGCACCGCGATTCGGCCAGCGCTGCCGTCGCGCGCCGGCAGCAGCTCGCGCGTGCACAGACGCTTGAGGAACATGATGTTGAACCGCATCGCCTGCATGCGACGGCGGTGAGCGCTGGCCACATCGTTGGGCAGCCTGCCGATTTCATCGTTGCTGCGGAAACTAGGCCGATATTCTGTACTAAACTTTGTGCGATGACAACCTCTCAGACTTCATTGGCGATAATGGGGTTCTAGAATCAGAGTTTAACAGCAGAGTTTGCTCTTTCGAAACGCCGTGGTGCTGAGTGCGTTCACATGTGCTGTTTTTGTTTCTCTTGGTTGCGAACCGCAATGCGCTTCGACAGGGAATAATACCATGCCCTTGCCACACGTCAAAATTATGTCACGCTAAAAGAAAAACGAAGCACCCTTCAGCGACAGCTGCCCTGCAGCTATGTGGTTTCAACACGAAAAAACAAACGAGAACGAGTTGGGGAGTGTTGTAGCGGGTGATAATGATCTGCACGTGCTTCTCGAGGGAATATCATAATTGAGGCAGCACCCACTCGCCGGCGCCGACATGAACGCGTGAAGCTTCCAACTTCACTTAATACCCCGTCAGGTGCGCAGCGGAAGCGATGAAGGCGCTAATTTTGGACGGCAGTGAGGCGCACTGTGAAACGATGAGAAATATTGGGCGAGTTCCCACAGCAACGATGAATTTCGCCCACTGCCTGACAATGCGGCCAGCAAACACCGCCTTAGCCGACGGCACGGTTTAACCAATACCCCTCAAGCGCACGCGCTATTTTCTGCTAGCGCACCGCATCATGGCTGCATCGCGAAGCCACGCGCTACGATACTTCTGCAAAGTGTGAAACAGACTGTACTTCCACAAATTCAAGCACATGTGCTGCTTGACTATAGACTTCGCTATTCGAACATGAACAGCATACGGAAAAAAAAAAACGTTCACATTAACCATGCGCCAAACAATACACAGTTTCGATAAAGGTGTCTGAACGCGCGGCCATCCAACCACCAAGTAAAAGCAAATTCAATGATCCCAACATTCAGCGGGTCAGAGGGAAGACATTAAGGGTAATACACAGATAAGCTAGTGAGAAATGCAAGCAACAAATATTTACTACAAGCGTTTTACACATCAATGAATATCAACGAAGCTATGGTGACGAAATGTGAAAAGGTGTGGAGATAGCCTAGCTTACGTAAGAGCAGTTACATTGTAGACTTCGTGGCATCATTAAAAGAAGCAAGTATACGTGAATTATATGGGTGGTGACCAGGGTCACAGATATGAATACTCCACGATGGTCAAATACTTGCGTGGCACACGGCCAAGGACGACACGTTTTCGACTAAATCCGCAGCAAGGTTACATCACGTCACAGAGTAGCTAGGTCCAAGGTTCAGCAACTGTTATCAGCAGTCTTCGGAGGTCCCTTCTAAATTCTAATACTGAGGAAATACCGCAACCTCGCTATCTCTTGCTAAGACTGTCCAGCTTAACAAGCACACACAACACGCGTGTAAGATCACTCGCACGTAGCATAGGCAGAAGCACCGAGAAATGTAGCTTCGAGTTACCCCGGAGGATATGCAAGTTGCGCTTTGGTACTGACGACCTTGGTTTATTTAAGGCAGGTGCCCTCGGCAAACGACGAGTCTCAGAAACCCCGGACATCAGCATCACACAGAGGACGTATCGATTCGATAGGCATCTGCATATAGTACACGCTCCCTCTTGGAGGAGGTCAGCTAAAGCCCTCGCTGATGGAATCCGATATACAACTATAAATAACGATCTCATGCACGGTTATATGGCCCAACTAAACGAGAGCAGCGTGCCCACCTTAACCAGCGCTACACATTACAAAGAAAACAAGCAAAAAAAAAACGGAGACATTCGCCTCAATCAGCGTCAGCACCTCACCCCAAGAACTTGTATTTCTTCCTGCACGGCGATGGTCTTTTGCCGTCAATGTAACGTTACTGCCCACACCACGGTATTTTTTTTAAAATCCAAACTAGAAGGTGTTTAGATAAACTGGCAAACACTGTAAAGGCGCTGCATGGTGAATACGCCGGATAAGAAGAAAAAGGACGACTACTACAAAAGAGTAAACGCCACAGCTCTAGAAAAAAAAGTTGCTTATAAGGAACATAAATGACTGAAGAACATAACCTAATGCACACTACAATGAAGTTTTCAATTCAAAATATGTATACATGGCTCAATTGACTCCAATATATAAGAATCATGACAATTACTTGAGCCTGGAATTCTGCCCTGGCCTATAGCAAATTAAGTTGCCATGTAAATAACAAATATCAACTTTTATGTATATGAAACAAATTTTAATTGAAAGAACAATGTTCCAACACTCTCCCAAATTGTAGTTGTACAACCAATTGGACCAACAAGCACACCATTTGGGATGCCAATTGGGAGGCCAATTGGAATGCACTGTTCCAATGGTTTTCCAATTGGAATGTGGGCAGCCAATTGGACTAACAAGCATTCCAATTGGAGATCAAATGGTCAGCGGTGAACCAATTGGACTGGCCAATTGGAACTATAAGGTCCAATTGGTCTTTCCTATTGAAGTTCAGCATTCCAGTTGGCTTCCAATTAATGCCATTTGGGACCAATTCATGGGAACTGGTATGACCAGTTGGACCCATTCACTTTTTTTGACTGATGCAGCGGCCGTGGCACGCGCAACGCACGCCGGCCTGTCAAGACGTGCGCGAGTTGTAAGAATTCTGAAGGACAACACTACAGCCATATATAGCACCATTGTCCTTCATCGCCCGATGCACACTGCAGGAAAATGTGGCCGACATGTACGTACATCGCTGCTCGCACGGCGTTGACGAGTGCACGTCGACGAGTGAACGAGACACAGCGATAACACTGGTAGTTATCCAGGCGATCAGCGCAGCCTGCTTAAACATCGCTCGGATACAAACCAATCACACGAATCCTTGAATCATATTGATTGATATGGGGGGTTTAACGTCCCAAAACCACCATATGACTATGAGAGACGCCGTAGTGGAGGGCTCCGTAAATTTCGACCACCTGGGGTTCTTTAACGTGCACCCAAATCTGAGCACACGGGCCTACAACATTTCCGCCTCCACCAAAAATGCAGCCGCCGCAGCCGGGATTCGATCCCGCGCCCTGCGGGTCAGCAGCCGAGTACCTTAGCCACTAGACCACCGCGGCGGGGCGATCCTTGGATCATACAACGGCACAGTGAATACACGTGCGCTAATTACAAGTAAATAGACGGACACAAAACAAGAAAACACTGACCTGCGCGAAGAGCCCGTCCGTAAATGCAATCAGCTGGAAACTCGGAACAGTTTTTTAAAAGTTTCCCTGGCGTGATTCGCGACAGCGACGACGGGCCGTGAAAATAGCCGCGAAAGCGTGCGCTTGGATATTCCCACGGGGAAAGCCCGAGCACGGCCGGCACGTTGAAGCCGAACGCAGGGATTGAGTGGACAGTCACAGGTTGATAAGTGGAAAGAAGGGGGGACAAATGTGTTACAACGCCGCCAAATACCCGTGACGGGGGAACAAATAAAAAACCAGTGATTCATGCGACGATGTGCGTGTTTACTATACAATCGTGTGCAGCAAACACTGAGGCACGAGGAGGCGAACAGAAGCCAAGTTTTCTTCATTTTTGATTTCGGGGAGCAGACGACAGGTTAGAATTAGAGGAGAGAGAGCGAAAGCGAAGAGCGGGCAGAGTAGCGGCCGTGACGTCAAATGAGCCAAGC